GTGGGGGGTTTTGCACTGGGTTCTGGGCTGTGAGGATGTGGGACCGGGGACTGGAAACCCAGGGAAGACGAAGTGTCCGCTGAGGCTACCTACGTCCCCAGGGAGAGTCCGGGAGGGCTTCTGGCGTGCATTCGGGCCTGGGGGCACTTCAACTCTGGGAGGGCCTGGCGGGAAAAGCTGAGGCTTGGCGACAGACAGCAAGCAGCTTCACTCAGTCTGACAAGGGAGAAATGCTGCAGCATAGTGGGGAACCGGCCCAGCGCCAGGCCTGGCGGGGAGTCTGGGCCTGGGGCCTTCAGGGCGGCTAGGGGAGTCTGGGCCTGGGGCCTTCAGGGCGGCTAGGGGAGTCTGGGCCTGGGGCCTTCAGGGCGGCTAGGGCCCCCTGGTCTCGCCTCCTTCTCCAGCAGGCAGGAGGGTCTTTGTCTTTAAGATAATTACGGTCATGAAACAGATCTGTCCTGGCAAAGTGGTAAATGTGACCTCTGGAGGCTGGTGAGCGGACGACCGGCCTCGCTCCCAGCTACTCAGGGGCCCAGTGCCAGACAGGGCCTGTGAGCGCCAGCGGGTGAGGCCTTAGTGCGGCTGGCACAGGAGCGAGGCGCTGTGCCCGGCCGCCCAGGTCTCAGAGGCCAGGTCCCCCCTTCCTGCCCTCCCAGGCCCAGACCCTGCACCAGCCGCAACCCACCCCCCCCAGTGCGTCCGTGGTCAGGTCCTGCCCCGCCCTCAACACCTCTTCAGCTGTGTCCACCTGTCCTGCTCTTGCCCGTCCCTGCCTGCCACAGGCCTCTGAGGCTCCCTCTGCTCACTGTGGGTGACCTGCCCAGCCTGGGGGGCCTGACTCCTCCCTTTGTTCCTGTGCTCCAGGGCTCCTCCTGCTGTGCTAATGATGCAAATTCCTAGGTTTGGTCTTAAAACTTTTGCTTGGAACAGCCCTTTCCTGCTCCCAGCTGGCGGATGGTGCCTAGCGCCCACCCCCCACTTTCCAGCTCCCGCTTCCCGAAGACCTGTTTGGCTGCCCATCCCGCAGGCACTGCCCCTGGCAGCTGGCCTCGCTGCCCTTTGCTATGTGGGAACCCAGCGAGTTGGGCCCAGACCCCTCAGTCTGTGGCGCGTTTCTGCAAGGTCCGCGTGCACACGCACCGACAGTGGGCAGAGCAGAAGACTGGGCAAGCTGCCCTGCGCCAGGCCGCGCCTCCCTGCAGCGGGCACCTGCCGGGCTCCTGGCTCCCCCAGGCCGGCTCCTGCCCACCCCCAACACACACCGTGGGCGTCCAGCGGTCCTGTTCCAGTGTCCTGAGCACTTCCATGTCCCTCTCCACAACTTAGCCCAGACCAGAGCCGAGCTGCAGGCCCGGCTAGGACCCCCCCACCCAGGGACAACGCTGCAGGCCCTGCTAGGTCTCCCTCCTCCCCCAGGCCCAGGGAAAA